CCTTCCCTTCCCTTCCCTTCCCTTCCCTTCCCTTCCCTTCCCTTCCCCTTCCCTTCCCCTTCCCTTCCCCTTCTCTTCCCCTTCCTTCCTTCCTTCCTTCCTTCCTTCCTTCCTTCCTTCCTTCCTTCCTTCCTTTTTTCTTTTTTCTGGAGACAGGGAGACAGGGTTTCCTGTAGCCCAGGCTGGCCTCTGTTCACATCACTGAGAAGAGCCTTGAACTTTTTTCTGATCCTCCTCCTTCCACTACCCTGTTGTGTATGTTTTTGATGTCACGCTGGGGATCAAACCCAGCACAGCAGGCAAGCAATCTACCAACTAGTTGGTACTTAGTTATCAGCCTCAGGTCATTATTTTGTTACTGTTTATTTATTTGGTTGTGTGCTGGTTAGTTGTCAACCTCACACAAACAAGCCATTTTGGAATCAGGAACCTCACCTGCGGAACTGCTTGCATTAGACTGGCCTGTGGGCATGTCTATGGGGCACTTTCTTGATTAATGACTGACGTGGAGGGTGCAGCCCACTGACACGCAGCGCCACCCGGGGCAGGTGGTTTCGGGTGGTCTAAGAAAGCAAGCTGAACAAGCCAGGAGGAGAAAGGCAGTAAGCAGTGCTCTTCCGTGGCCACAGCTTCACTTCCTGCTGAGTTCCCACCCTGACTCCCCTCAGACCTGTGGGCCAAATTAACCCTTTGCTCCCCAAGGTGCTTTCAGTCATGGTGTTTATCGCAGCAATAGAAAGTCAGCTAGTGCAGTGTGTGTGTGCACACGGAGCTCAGAGGACAAGCAAAGTCGGTTTTCTCCTTCCACCACGTCAGCTCTGGGAACTGAACTCTGGTACTCAGGCTTGGCGGCAAACTCCTCTCCCTGCTGAGCCTTCTCACAGTCCGAGCATCATTACTTTAAACGGGAGGCTGGAGAGTTTGGATGCTTTTGGCCAAGGCTTGTGTTGCAAGTTATGACTGAGACTGTCCAAAACACGTGGGGGTAGGGGTGGGGAGAGGAGCATACATAGCTGTGAACATCCTAATGCCATGAACTGTACGATTAAACACGGCTAACACACGGTACATTTTACATTAGGCACACTGTAGCCACAGTTTAAAGGCTTTGCTGGGTCTCAGGGTCTAGGGAAGCTAATTTGGATGAGCTCCCTTCAGCCTCCTCCTTAAACAGGCTGCTGGGGCTCCGCAAAGCCGTGTAAGGTCCTGTTGTACTTTCTGCCGACTCATCTGTACACCGTCTGTAAACGTGTCACCCTGTGTTCTCCTCACCAGTGTGTGTCTGCCCTACGAGATGGGGAAACTGAGGACCCAAGAGGTGAAACAACTTCCCAAGGCCATGTAGCCACTTGTCTCTTTCCTCCGGAATCACACTGGGGAAAGATTGTAAACTAGGCATAGTGGCCGTAATCCCAGCACTTGGAGAGCAGAGGCAGGAGGATTCCCGAGAGCTTGTGGCCAGCCTTGGCTACCAAATACAACTATGCCTCAGCACTCCCACCCAAATAGTCAGGGTGATGCATGCCTGTAACCTGAGGCCCTGAGAGGTGGAGGCAAGAGGATCAGCAGGCCAAGGCTGTCTTCTGTTACAGGAGTTTGAGGCCAGCCTGGGCTACATGAGACCTTGTGTGTGTGTGTGTGTGTGTGTGTGACAAGTTCACTGTAATTGAATGTGTGAATGTTGGCTGACAATACTAGAAACAGAAGCCTGACAGGCAGGAAGGCCTTCCAGAGGAAGAGGCACACACAGACACTGCCTGAGATTTGAAGATGAACGGGTAGTGAGTCAGGCAGGCAAGGCCAGGGCTCAGGGATTCAACCTCTCTCCACAGTCTTCCTGTCTGCTGGCCTAGGGGTACTCACTCCGCCAGAGACCTATCCGGCGCCACCTGAGACCAGCGCTAGCTGGGAGTCCCAGCTGGGGATGCCGGTCCCCTCAGGTTCCCGCACCATGTCCACAGAAGCCCAAGCCATGGCAGCACCCACCGGGCAGGGCCCCAAGAACCCACGAGTGTCCAGTGTGATGGTGCAGCTGGAGATGAAGCCACTGTGGGAAGAATTCAACCAGCTGGGCACGGAGATGATCGTCACCAAGGCGGGCAGGTGTGGGCATGGACGGTGGGGGCTGGGCAGGGAGTGGGCACCAGGGCCAGGCTGAGCATCTCCCCCCTGCCATCCCCAGGCGGATGTTCCCAACCTTCCAGGTGAAGATCCTGGGCATGGACACACTGGCCGACTATGCTCTGCTCATGGACTTCATCCCTCTGGATGACAAGAGATACAGGTCTGGGCCTGGCAGGGGAGCGGGGCTGCTGAGAATAGGCACTGGACCCCAAGAGTAGACAGGGTGAGCGTTGGAAGCCTTCTGAGTCCATGCTGTAGAGGGCCAGCCAGGCAGAAGAAAGCCCTGCGGGGAGGGACGCAGGCTGAGGTGTGGGTCCACGGTTGGGTGGACTGTGCAGGATCGGGGGAGGCTCGGCCTCTTCACCATCAGACTGGGCACCGAGTGGGGGTGTGGGGGCAGCCCCTGACCTCTCACTCTGCTCCCACAGGTATGCCTTCCACAGCTCTGCCTGGCTGGTGGCGGGCAAGGCTGACCCCGCCACGCCTGGCAGGGTGCATTTCCACCCTGACTCCCCAGCCAAGGGCGCCCAGTGGATGCGGCAGATTGTGTCCTTTGACAAACTCAAGCTGACCAACAACTTGATGGATGACAACGGCCACGTGAGGGCACAAGCCACTGGGGCCATCATGGGGAGGGACTGAGCCAGCTGCAGCAGAGTGGGACTGTGATGGTGATGAAGCCTGGGCATAGAGCTGGCAGGGCTGATGTGGCATTTGGACGGATAGCGACAGGAAGAGAGGGAGGAAGGGAAGGTAGAGGAGAAGTAGTTTGAAGCCTAGGGGGCAACCCGAGCAAAGGTCTTGAGGCCAGAAAACATGGAGTGAGTTGGGAGACTTCAAGGAGACTCCCCATGGGGCTGACGTAAGGAGGAGAGAAGGAAAGCAGCAGGTAGCCTGTCACACAGGCCCAAGTGCCTGGGCTGAGAGCTCTGGCTTTTCCTCTCTGTGGATGGGAGGTACAGAGGATTCAGAGCAGGTGTGTGTGTCTTGCCCAGCTGCGGTGTGGAGAATGGGCAGAAGGGCAAGGTGGGGAGGCAGGGAGGCCAGCTGGGAGGCCAGCTTGGAGGCAGCTGTGGAGACCGGGTGAAAGATGACCCGGGCTGACTACAAGGTGATGGGTCGGAGGGATGGTCAGATTCCACAGTTCACAGATTTCACAGGTCAAGCTACAGAGGGACCGTGGGCAAGAAGAGGGTGTGTGTCTTGGGCCCAGGGAGGCTAGCTGCATCAGCTCCACCCCTGCACTTGGCTCCCACCCTCTTGCAGATCATTCTCAACTCCATGCATCGTTATCAGCCCCGTTTCCACGTGGTCTTCGTGGACCCACGCAAGGACAGCGCCCGCTACGCCCAGGAAAACTTCAAGTCCTTCATCTTCACGGAGACACAGTTCACAGCTGTGACAGCATACCAGAACCACCGGGTGGGTCACACCAGAGCTCCTGAGGACCAGCCCATCTTGAGGGGGTAGAGACTGAGGCTGGAGGTTCCTCCTGTCCCTTGGACATCTGCCTTCCTGCTGGCTCTGGAGGTCCTGGGCTGAGGGCTCCTGCTGACTGAGAGTTCCCAGGGGACAGAGTGGCTAAGTGTGGGCTCCCCAGGGCCCAATGGCTGGAGGCCAGTCCATAACTCTACTTCCTCTCTGTAGATCACACAGCTGAAAATTGCCAGCAACCCCTTTGCCAAAGGCTTCAGAGAGAATGACCCGGACACATGGTACCGTCTCAATCCCGCCTTCTTGCTCTAAGCCCAGTGCTGGCCATGGCTCCATCCCAGGCAGCCCCTAAGACATTCACTCTTGACCGGTTTTATGGTCATGTCTTCTGGTTTGCTCTGATATCCCCTATCTGACTCTGACCATAATGTCTGGGGGTGGGGATGGGGGTGGGGACGGGGTGCCTCCCTTGGCCTCCTATCCCATTCCTGCTTGCCCTATCTTCAGGCCTGTGGCCCCACGGCCATTGCTCAGCATCCCAGCCCGGAGTCATAGCAGCCTCACTCCCTGTCTGCTTAAGGGCTCTGCAGAACGAGGGAAAGGTGAGGACACAGCCCAGACACACAGGCCCTCCAAGAAGGGGCTTCACCATGATCAGCAACACCCCCACCCCAACCCCCACCTGGGTAGGAAGGCACAGGACCGAGACAGCAGGGACAGGGAGGGTATAGAGCACAGGAGGGGTGCCTGTTGGGTTTCCTGGAGGGGGTGGATTCTCAGCTGGGCACTGGAAACTGGAAGCTCCGCTTCAGACTGGCAGACAGTTGAGTAAGAAGGTAAGGGAAGAAAGTCCAGGCAGAGAAGAGAACAAGGACAAATATTGAAGTAGGCCAAGATGAACGGCCAAGGACAAGACAGAAAGGGCAGGCCTCAGGATTAGTTCTGTGTATGTGAGGGGAAATCTGCTGTCCACTCAAACCATTTTCTCCCTCAGACACCAGTAAAGCTTCAGCTTCCAACTCCAGGACTCCTACTCAGTCGCACCATCAGCTGCTGCCCGCCTCTGAGGTCCTGCTGGCACCTGCCACCTACAGGCCCCTTCCTTACCAGAACCTGTATCCTGGAGCCTCAGGCCACGTTGGCATCCCAAGGGCTCGCCTGGCACCTTACCCTCTCCCCAGTATCGGCACTGATGGAGATCAGGAAGACCCATCCCTCCCAGCTGGGCTGGGGCTCCTGCCCTCCTCTGCTTTGTGCTTAGGGCCTAGCCAAGATCCCCTGTGACGGCCAAGTGCCATGGAAGCCCTTTACCCTATGTCCCACCTCTCCCTCTCTGTCCAGACATCGCAACTGGAAGCCTGGTGGCAGGTGGTTCCTCCATCAAAGCCAGTCTGGGGCCTGCCAGCCATGGAATCAGGCCTCCTATTTCCTACCCCAAAGCCCTCAATCCTGCCTGGAAGATGACTCCTCTAAACCCTGCTTCAATTGTCCGTCCCCCACATTAAACTGCTCGACACCATGGGTCAGAACACTTCCGTCCAAGGGAACTCCCAGATCAGACAGTCCCGTCACCTTTATAGGTATCCAAAAACTGGACCCAGGAGCACAGGGATATGGTAACAGTGACGACACCGGCAAGGCCACACTCCCCCTGGTCTGTCCCCTACTTTGTGTACCCATATAAGGACATCACTGGCTTTGAGAGGGTTAGGCACACAGGAGCATCGAGGGGTGCGCAATATGATAGGCAGGGATCACACGGACCAGGGTAGGGATGAGTGTTGACTTGGAAAGCCGATCAAGGCCGGGGGGAAAAAGTCCAGGTAGATAGGGGCTGGAGTCCTCTCGATACAGTCCAGGGGACTAAGGCTTCTCTTGGAGTGGGAGCCCCAGGGGCCCGGAGGACTCCCACTCTGCTCAACCCGGAGCTCTTCCTTGTGAAAGCACAGACACCCACAGGGACGAGAGACAGGGAGCCCAGATCTTCAGCAGCCACACATCCCAAATCCCGAACGCGAAGTCCCGACCCACTCAACTCAGGTCACCTAGGTCTTCCGGAAACAATGAGTAGGCAGAGGGTGCCGTACTGATAGGGAAGTCAGGCCCCCGGGAAGAGAACGCTAATCAAGCCGATCCACTCTTCTGGACACGCCTATCTGCTCTAGGCCAGGCCTTTCCCTCCAGTGGCGCTTTGCTCCCGGTGCACAAAACCGCTTGCCCTCACCTAGCAAGCCCCGCTCCAGAGGCCTCACCCCAATCGCCTCCGCCAATAGCAACAAACCCCGCCGTAAGCCCCGCCCCAACATGCCCCGCCCCTATGACCTCTGAACCTCAGCCCAGCGGGCCTCGACTAGTACGCCTCTGTGCCCCATCCGAGCGGCCACTATCCCGCCCCTCTTAGGTCCCGCCCCTCAGTCCCCAGCAACACCCCCTTCCGGCTCTCTCTTAGACCCTCCCCTTTCTCCCCCCCCCCCCCCCCCCGGCTGGAGCCTGCGCACCGCTGCGCTCCTTCCCTCGCAGGCCGGCGCCCTCTGTGTCCCGGTGGTCTGGGACATGCTGCCTGACTGCCTGTCCGCCGAGGAGGAACGGCGCTGCCGGCAGCTGCTAGCGGGGACCACTGCCCGGCTACGCTCGCGGCCGGCGGCGGCGGCAGTGCTCGTGCCGCTGTGCCTGGTGCGCGGGGTCCCGGCGCTGCTCTACACACTGCGCTCTAGACGCCTGGTCGGGAGGCACAAGGGGGAGGTCAGGTACGCTGGCCGCGCCGGCGCACTGTCTGCGACCAGCATACCCCTCTGGATTTTCCCCTTCCCGAACAGGACCCTGCCCCTTACCGGAGCCTGGAGAGAGGCGCTCCGCGGCTCCCTTCCTTTGGCTTCGCCCTCAGCAGAAGTTGAGGACACCCCAGGGTCAATGTACCACCGGGACACCCTAGGCAGACCTTGGGTGTCTGAGCCCCAGCACAGTCTTAGGCCACTGCCAGACCTTAATGCTCTAACCTGCATCTCCAGTGCCTGTCCGTCCCCTTAGCCTAATGGCAACAGGGAGGTCAAAGTGCCTTCTGAGGGCCCACGGTCCCAAGACATCCTCTGCCCATTCAGTTTCCCAGGCGGTAAGTGTGATCCCACCGACCAAGATGTAATACAGACGGCCCTTCGGGAGACTCAAGAGGAGCTGGGCCTAGAGGTGACCAAGGAGCAGGTGTGGGGTGTCCTGCAGCCTGTGTACGACCGGGTGAGCCATCCTCATCCTGTCACATTCACTCTATCCCAGGAGAAGGGGTCCTGCTCAGTTTGGGACAAGGGTCCGGGAAGGCTTGCAGGCTTGCCTGCCTTGGTCTGGGCTTGAATGACAAGTGGGAGATTTTAGGGTAGTACAGGTAAGAGAATGGGGTTCTAAACACCTCACACTGTGTCAGGCAGCATAGCTAGAGACCAAGGACAGGGACGGGAGGGCTTGCCCATGACTGCCCAAGGCCTCTGGATGGCAGAGTGGCGTCTGCCTCTCTAATTTGCTCCTCCTGACGGCTCACCCTCCTCCTACCCCAGGGAAAGGCAACCATAGTCCCTGTGCTTGCCAACGTGGGCCCGCTGGATCTGCAGAGCCTCAGGCCCAACCCGGAGGAGGTGAATGTGGGGAGCTGGGGAGCTGGGGAGCTGGGCTGTCCTCCCAGGGGCTTCAGAGGCAGCCCTCTGCCCGCCCTCGCTGTCTCTTGCCCACAGGTGGATGAGGTATTTGAGCTGGCTCTGGCCCACCTGCTGCAGACCCAGAACCAGGGCTATACCCACTTCTGCCAGGGTGGCCACTTCCGCTACACACTGCCTGTCTTCCTGCACGGACCACACCGGGTCTGGGGCCTCACAGCTATCATCACTGCGTTCGCCCTGAAGCTGATGGCCCCTGGCATCTACCAGCCCTGCCTAGCTGTTCCTGAGCTGCCTAGGGGTTGAGGCCTGCTTGGCCTTTAAGTGCCTCTTTCTTCAATTGGCCAGATTACTCCAGAACTGATTAAAATAGAGTCTTTGACCACTCTACCCTGGTGTCTTGCGTGTGGAGAGTGGAAACCAAGGCATGATGGCACACCCTTGTAATTCCAGCACCGGGGCAGCAGATAAGAGGATCTCTTGGGGCTTCTGGCCAGCCAGTGTAGGCTACTTGGTGAGACCCACACCAATGAAAGACAAAGAAGCTAGGGGTCGGTGAAAGGCCCCCGCCACAAAGCCTGATCTTTGGGACCCACATGGAAGGCGAGAAGCAACTCCTGCAAGTTGTCCTCTGACCGTGACATACCCGCTCACATGTCTACATGTATACACATACACAGAAGAAATGTTCGAAGACTGAAAGAAGCTAAGTATGTGGTACATGCCTGTAATCCTGGCCTCTCGAGGCAGAGGCAGGAAGATGGAGAATTCAAGGCCTGGCTTGTACTTGGGTTAGGCAATGAGACTTCGTCTAGGAAACCAATCAGCTATTGGGGGAGCAGAAGGGGAAAGGGCAGCTGCTGCCAGTGAGGTTCCCTGCTGGGAGCACATCAAACAAAGTGACCAATGGCCAGGGTGAAGGTTGGTCCAGGGAGAAGGTACTGCCTGGGACGTGGAAGATGGGGTGATAGGCCAGTTCCACCACACAGAGGGCCACCATAAGGGAGACAAGAGGACATGACTACTTCCATTTTATTCCCAGCCAAGGGACAGGGAAGGAGTGTGACATCATCGCCAGCAGGTTTCCCCAAGGGCACTAGAATGTAGGGCCCCACATATTGTGCCCACTTCTCTTACAGAAGTGACCCCTCCCTTCACACCAGCACAGTCCCATACCCCTCCCCCCTCCGTCCTCCCACCTTCCTGCCCTTCTCACTTACTTCCTCTCCTGCCTACCCCCAACACACCCTTTTCATCACCTCTGGCCCTGCAGCCTCCTTACCCAGCAGCAGGGCCACATGATGGTGGTAAAAATAGCTCCTTGTAACAGTGTGTGACTGGAGGGGCAGAGGCAGGAGGCAAGGCTGGCCCCCAGTGCTAGGGAAGGGCCCTTGGGAGGTGTGGGCTCCTGATCCCCTCCCTGCTTGGTCACACACTGGGCCACCTCAGTCTCAGGCTCCCTCACCCAAAGCATACGCCCGGAGCTGGCAGCAGCAAAGCAGTGTGACGCGGCTCTCAGAGGTAAGGATCCCAGCGGGCTGACTACAGCTCTGCCCCTCCAGGTGGAGCCCCCAACCCTGTCCTTTTAGTCTTAGGACACATTGTCTATCCTAGGGCAGCCTTGGCGATGCGTCTTTATTCCGTCTTGTGGGCAGGTGTGACCCCCAGTGTCCCCAGGAGGTGGAAGTTTCTCTGAGTTTCTATGTCTGAGCCACCATGGCGTGTGCAGGGCCGGCCAGTGGGCGGCAACGGGTGAGCATGCAGGAGCACATGGCCATCGATGTGAGCCCTGGCCCCATACGGCCCATCCGCCTCATTTCCGGCTACTTCCCACACTTCTATCCCTTCCTGGAGCCAGTGCTGCGCGCCCCAGACCCACAGGCAGTCTTGGCCCCGGCCGTCTGCTCTGTACCCCAGCTGCAGCCCAACCCAGAACTAGAAGCAGACTCAGATGACGGCAGTGAGTAGGAGACAATGAGGGGTTGCGCCCTAGGACGGCGTCAGGGGTGTCTCTAGCACCCACTGTGCCATGTGGGACAAGGGGGGTGCGGGAGCGGGGTGATCATGCCTGGCACCTGCCATCTTAGCTGTCCTAGGCTCCCTGGAGTTCACGCTTCTCTTTGATGCGGACAACAGTGCCCTGCACTGCACAGCGCATTGTGCAAAGGTGAGGACAGAGGCAGAGTTCCCGGGATGGGACAAGCCACAGACCTCTCTACATCCATTTTCTGTTTCCAGGGCCTCAAGCCACCAGCCTCAGGCTCTGTGGACACCTACGTCAAAGCCAATTTGCTGCCAGGGGCCAGCAAGGTGAGGGTAAGATCCAGGCTCCTTAGGTATCAGGGCCACCTTAGGGTACTCACTGATCCTCCTTCACCCCAAGAACTAGAGCTCAGTTGCTAGGACCCAAGGGCCAGGGCAGGTGGCCAGGAGGGTGCCTGACCTGCCTGCCTGGCCCCAGGCCAGCCAGCTTCGGACACGCACTGTTCGAGGCACGAGGGCCCCTGTCTGGGAGGAGACACTCACCTATCATGGCTTTACTTGTGAGGATGCTGGAAGGAAGACCCTGAGGTGAGGACCCAGGTTAGGGCACCAGTAGGGAGGCAGGGGGTGGGGCTTGGATGACCAGGACTGACCCGGATGGCCACCAGGCTATGCGTGTGTGAGGACTCACGGCTGAGGCGCCGGCGGCGCGCACCACCCTTGGGGGAGCTACGAGTGCCCCTGAGGAAGCTGGTGCCAAACAGAGCCAGGAGCTTTGACATCTGTCTGGAGAAGCGGAGGCTGGTGAGTGGGGCGGAGGCTCAGGTTGGGTCTATAGGACCAGGAGCTATGTGATGAGGAGAGCGGGGGAAGGGACCTGAACAATTATCTACTGAGGTGACCAAGTGCTCTGCTTTTTTCAGACCAAGAGGCCCAAGATCTTGGACACGGCCCGTGGCATGTCTCTGTATGAGGAGGTGGGTAGGAAAGCTTGACTGAGCAGGAATGGAGACAGGCAGGCCTAAATGGCCCAGGCTGGGATCAGGGGTGAGCTGGGCAGGGGTCCAGGCCCTTCAGAGCTTCGAGGAATTTGAGTCCATCTCTCTCGTAAGTTCTGTGACTCCTCAAGAACTGCCAAAGTCCCAGTGGCTGGGCAGGGTGCCACTGACTCCTTTGCTAGGGCAGCCTGGAGATGAGGAATGCTAGGAAGGGGCTACAGAGTTCTCAGAGGATGGGCAGGCTGAGATCCAGCAATCTAGAGGCAGGGCCTGAAAGGTGGTACTTGTGGCAGGGATGGGAGGACTAGGCAGAAGAAACAAGCTCCCAGGTCGCTTGTCTGCCACTAGTGTCGGGGCTGGGTCCGCCTCTGTGTCTGCCTCTCAGGAGGCGATGAGGATGACTTCTGTGCTTACTCAGCCCCACCTGAGACGCTGGCCACGCTGGCCACGCCGGCCAGAACCCTATCGCTCAACAGGACACCTGCAAGCCTGGGAGGCGGGCCCTCCACCTGCTCCTGTCAACAGTGTAGGCGCCCTGCCCCCTAGTGGAAGCCCAAGTTTGTGCAGCCTCTGATTAGCTAAGCCCAAGCCTGTGAGATACTGAGAACCCTAAACAGTCCTGCCCAATCCTAGTGGACGTCACTGAGAACCCTAAAACAGTCCCGACCAGTCCTAGAGCCCGTGTGCAACTGTGCCCCAGCACACTGTACTGGCAGAGCACTCCTTCCATACTGAGCACCGCCAATGATTGGAAAGTTTGGATCTCGGCCATCCATTCTACCCCGAAGGTGGGAAAGAAGGCATGCTTTCCCAGGCCGTCATCCCAGCTGTGGGGGCTCCGGTGTCTAAGAATATGGCAAATGGTCTTCCAGGCAGTGGGAGTGGAGGTGGGGTTAAAAGGTAAGAAACCTGTCCCTCCCTGATGAGTCTCTCAGAGCTATTTCCATTGCATGGGGACGGCCAGCTAAGTCCCTGGCATGGCTGTCACACTCATCATCAGTTCTCTTACTTGCCTTGACATGAGTAGCAAGCTCTTACCTTTCTCAGCCTTTGGAGGGTACAAATCTCTGAGTCCCACTATAAGGTCACATGACTGGGTACTGGGAAAAAGGCTATCTAGGGAAATAAGCTTGACACCCTGGTTTCTCTGTAGCCATGTGCTCTCACATTGGGACCTGACCCCTGCAGGTGTGGGGTTCAGGCTGGACAGGGTCTGACCACAGCTTGCATCTGCAGGAGGAGGTGGAGGTAGAGGCCTCTGGAGAGGAACGTGGGCGCATCCTACTGTCCCTGTGCTACAGCTCCGAGCGTGGCGGCCTGCTGGTGGGTGTGCTGCGCTGTGCCCACCTTGCTCCCATGGACACCAATGGCTACTCGGACCCCTTTGTGCGCCTGTGAGTACAAACAGGCAGGTGGGCATGAAGAGTGAAAGAGGGTCCTTGGTTCTGCAGGGCTAAGCCTAGCCAGCCCATCTCTCCCTCCAGTTTCCTGCATCCAAGCTCTGGGAAGAAATCCAAATATAAGACCAGTGTTCGGAGGAAGACCCTGAACCCCGAGTTCAATGAGGTGGGTCCTGGCTGGGAGATCCCGTTATGTGTCTTGATGTAGCAAACCAGGCCCCACCTGAGCCTGTTTCTTTTCCTTTTCTTTCTTTTTTTGGTTTGGCTTGTTTTTTGAGACAGGGTTTCTCTGTGTAGCCTTGGCTGTCCTGGACTCACTTTGTAGACCAGGCTGGCCTCAAACTCACAGAGATCCACCTGCCACTGCCTTCCCATGTGCTGGGAGTACAGGTGTGCGCCACCGTGGCTGGCCTGAGCCTGTTTCTGAAGCTGTGAAGAAGTCACCTCTTTGCTGTTGCTTTTCTCACAGGAATTCTTCTACGCTGGTCATCGGGAGGAGCTGGCCCAGAAGGCACTGCTAGTGTCTGTGTGGGACTACGACCTGGGCACAGCCGACGATTTCATTGGTGAGCATAAACACCGGGTGCTGGAGGGAGCCTCATGCGCCTCCGCTGGCTCCTGACCCATCCCTCGGCAGGTGGGGTGCAGCTGAGCGGCAGAGCCAACGGGGAATGCCTGCGCCACTGGCGTGAGTGCCTGGGCCACTGTGACCACCGGCTGGAAGTGTGGCACCTGCTGGACAGTGTGCCCCCCCAACTTGGTGACTAGCCAGCATGGGACCCTGCCTGCAACCTGTTCAGGGCCAAGATGTCAGCTGTATCTGGAGAGAGCTCTGGGTTGGCCCCATCTGCTATGTGCATTCTTGTCTCTTTTCAGCCATACCACCCCCAAAACACAAAGCAAAATAAACACCTGCTTCTGCCAGCCAGGATCCTGTCCCTTTCCCAGGACTGTCTGCTGCTTCTGCGCCCTCACCTCATAGGGTAGATCAGGTCCGTTTCCTGTCTCCCACCCCTCAGAGCAGTGGTCCTCAACCTTCCTAATGCTGCGACCCTTTTAATACAGCTCATGTTGTGGTGACCCTGACCATAAAAAAATAATTTCATTGCTACTTCACAAGTGTAATTTTGCTACTGTTATGAATCCTAATGTAAAGATCTGATATAGGACCCCCGAAGGGGTCGAGACCCACAGGTTGAGAACCACTATCTCAGAGGCCGCACTGGACCAAGTTCAGCACTGGGAATACAGCTCAGTGGCAGCAGGCTCACCCAGCATGCCCGCAGCCCTGAGATTGATCCCCTAGTGCCACAAAAAGAAGTGGGCCAAGCCCAGCCTTCTTCTTCTGCCCAGTGAAGGAACAAACCTCCACACGTGGGTGGGGACAGTGGGGAGAAAAGCAAAGTCACAGACAGGCTGTGATCGGAGAACGGGCAGCTCCTGTTTATTGTCCAGCTTCCCAAAGAGAAGTGAAATCAGCAGGCTAGGATATGGGCTCAGGAGGCTGCCTGCCAAGCCTGCTGCTGCTGGGCAAACCGGTGCATCCGATCCTCAAGCTCTGGCCGGAAGTGTCGGATCAGACCCTGGGAAGGAGGGAGACACCGCATGAACCAGAGTTCCAAATTCCCAAAGCTCTGGGCTCTCAGTGTCACCACTTAGCGTCACATAGCAGGGCAGTGTGTACCTGTACTGGCCAGGCGGCCCCGTCACCCAGAGCACAAATGGTGTGGCCCTCTATCTGCTTGCTGATCTCCCAGAGGGAGTCGATCTCAGCGGGCCGGGCGTTCCCCTTCACAAAGCGGGCCATCACCTTGTTCATCCAGTCAACACCTACAGCAGAGCAGCGAGAGCGGTCTGAGGGTCTCCCACCAGGGAGGGACAACACTGAAGGGGTGCAGGCCTCACGGGGGAAAGTTAACAGCCCAGCAACTACACCCCAGCCTTCCAGGAAGCTCACCCTCACGGCAGGGGGTACACTGGCCACAGCTCTCGTGCTTGTAGAACTCAATGAGGCGAGCAATGGCTTTCACAATGTCAGTCTAGGAGACAAGGAACAGGGCAAGGCACCTTAACCTCCTGCAGCACCCCTGACCTGGGTGTTCTGGCCCACGTCCCCACTGTACAGGGATTAGGCTGTTGGAATTGGGAGCCACAAGCTAGTCAAGAGAACTCTCAGAGGCCTAAGGGGAACGGCAGGCTTGTGAGGTAGGAGGGCATTACCGAGCGGTCCATGACAATCACTGCAGCCGTGCCCAGGCCAGTCTGGGCCTGCACCAGTGCATCGAAGTCCATCAGCACTGTCTCACACACAGATTTGGGGATCAGCGGAGTGGATGAGCCGCCAGGAATCACAGCCAGGAGGTTGTCCCAGCCACCTGTGACGCCACCTGTGACAATTCCAAAAAGGCTTGTCATGGCTAAGCCTGGCACACCTGCCTATGCTTGACCAATGCCAGCACCCGAACCTAGCCCAGCTCCTGAGTTTCCCACCATGCCCTCTCGAGCACGCTGCCCTCCTGGCTGGGCCCCAGGCTCACCCGCATGCTTCTCAATCAGCTCTTTCAGTGGCACAGACATCTCTTCTTCCACAGTGCAGGGGTAGTTGACATGGCCAGAGATGTTGAATAGTTTGGTCCCTGAGTTACGTTCTCGGCCAAAGCCAGCAAACCAGGCGCCCCCACGACGGCAGATGGTGGGGGACACAGCCACCGTCTCCACATTGGCCACGGTTGTGGGGCATCCAAACACTCCTTCAAGGAAATTACAAGAGACTGGTGGCTTCCCGGAAAAGGGAACGTTTTGTTTTTTGAGACAGGATTTCTTTGCATAGCCCTGGCTGTCTCAGAATTCACTTCATAGACCAGGCTGGCCTTGAACTCAGATCTGCCTGCCTCTGCCTCCCGAGTGCTGGGATTAAAGGACTGTGCCACCACCTCACTGGGAACAATCCCAGCAGTGGGATGTCCTGCTCCTGTAGCAGTTCCTATTCTTGCCTTCTCACTTTTGGCCCACAACGCATCCCAGACTCGAAGAGAGCTTATTTCCCATTCACTACAGTACCTCTAGCTCCCGGGACAGAGAAAGAAAGAGGGGACATGGGTGTGTGATGTCAACTGAGGGCTGCAGGTGCCATCGACAGAGCCTGTGTTATTAACTCCTTCCCCCATCAATCTGTCTTCCTCTCCAAACGGCATGGAGAAATATTGTAAGAACCACCCAGAGGGCACCTGGTCAGATCCAGGACCCCACAGAGCAGAGCTAAGACAAGGCCTCACCCAGGGCCAGGCAGGGTCTTACCCACATCTGCTGGAAAGGGCGGCTTCAGGCGTGGCTTTCCCTGCTTGCCTTCAATGGACTCAATGAGTGCCGTCTCCTCTCCACAGATGTAGGCCCCAGCCCCACGTACCACAAACACATCAAAATCATAGTCAGAGCCACAGGCGTTCTTGCCAATCAGACCTGCTTCGTAGGCCTCTCGGATAGCTACCTGTGGGACAAGGTGTGAGTTCCCCAGCCCTACCCACCGAACTCCAAGAGTCAGCCTCCACTCCAGAGCCCACGGAACCCTCAAGACTCCCTAAGTTGAACTTTGGAGCACAAAGAAAGAACTCTAGGGCCAGGTCCTGTTTGTTGATGGATGCAGGAACAGAACGGCCCCCTGCTGGACAGACACTGGTACTACCATCTAAAAATGGTTGTGCCAGGAAAGGGAGCATGTGAGGTGTGCATGCACTGTTGGCCAATACGCACGTGCTCACCTGCAGATTGGAGGCCTCGTTGTAGAATTCTCCTCGGATGTAGATATAGGCAGCCCGGGCTCCCATGGCCCGGCCTCCCACCAGGCAGCCCTCCACCAGCTTGTGAGGGTCGTGGCGCATGATCTCGCGGTCCTTACAGGTGCCTGGCTCCCCCTCATCAGCATTCACCACCAGGTACTTGGGCCTGTGGGGTCCTGCACATCAGTCAGGCTACAGACCCACCAGGTCCCAGCTCTTAACCAAAATCCACTCCTTCTGCACCCAGAGAATCTCAACACAGCTGATTCTCTCTGCCCTACCTGAGGCTCTCTTTTTGTCACCATCAATGACAAGGCACTCATTACCTATTTAATCTTTGATCAAGTATGTCCAAAAGAAAATATTTGTTTTCCTTAGAGGACAAATCCAGTATCTCTCCCTGTGTTTTCCCTTGAGAGTCAATTCAGTTCTCGGTCATTAGGATTCTTCTTCAATCTCTACCACAGCCCTGCGACCAACAGGAAGTAGAGTGGCTGACTTTAAAATAAATAAATAAATAAATAAATAAATAAATAACTTGGCTAGGCAGTGGTGGTATACACCTTTAATCCCAGCAATGAGGAGGCAGAAATAGGCAGCTTTTCTTGAATTCAAGGCCATCCTGGTCTCAGAGAGAATTCCAGGACAGCTAGAGCTACACAAAAAACCCTTGTGTCAAGAGGCAGCATATGCCAAAACATACGTGAAGTTCAGGGAACACCTTGTACATGTCATGTCAGTTCTGTCTTTCTTCCCTTTGGGTCCTGGAGATGACTTCAGGTCACCAGACTTGAAGGCAGGTTCCCTTACCTGCTGAGCCATTACGCCAGCTCAGTGGCTAACTTTTATAATTTGCATTCTAGGTGTTAAGCTGAACCAACTTTATCTTTTTTTTTTTTTTTTATCTTTTTAATTCCTGCATATCATACTCAGGCACAAAAAAATAATAAATAAATAGGGCTGGAGAGATGGCTCAGCAGTTAAGAGCATTATCTGCTCTTACTAGAGGTCCTTTATTCAATTCCCAGCAACCACATGGTGGCTCATAACCATCTATAATGAGATCTGGAACCCTCTTCTGCTATATATGTAATAAATAAATAAAATAAATCTTTAAAAAAAATCTCTTTAGAATGAAAGAAAGAAGTTGAGATTCAAAAGGGCCAGATTCCCCAAAGCTTGACAATTACTAAAAGGCAAAGTTGGGATTTGAATAATAAGGCCTGCCTGAATAAAAATCTTGTATGGATTATAGCATCCTGAGTCTCTACTGATGCAATCCCTTAAGTTCTGACTATCCTCTCACAGCCCGCTAAGTTTCCCAGAATCAGTCCCAAAGCCCAGCGCCTCACTGGCCCCTAGTCTGTCCTGCAACCATGGCTCAGGATACTCCCCACAAACCTGCCATCCGAGGGCTTATTCATGAAGCTCCACTTGAGGCCAGTGGGGAAGCCAGCGCCACCACGGCCCCGTAAACCGGATGTCTTGATCTCACCCAAGATCCAGTCCGGCCCCTTCAGCAGGATCTCCTTTGTCTTGTACCAGTCACCCCGACTCTGGGCACCTTTCAGCCTGGATGGAGTAGAAAAGGATGTGAAGGAGAAGATATGCTAGGGGACCCAGCAGGCTGAGGGCACATGTCTCACCTCCAGTCATGGCGGCCATACAGGTTGGTGAAGATCCGGTCTTCATCCTTCAGCGATCCAAATGAGGTTTTCTTAGGTGCTGTCTGAGGAGATGGAAGGTCAGGAGACCCAGCAGAGCTTGGGAACCATGAGGAGTCGGGACAGAATTTTCAGCTTCTTGGGCCCTCCTGCATAGGAGGGGCTGGGCCGCAGAGGGGACAGAGGCTTCAAAGTCTCTGCAGCATCCATCATAGCTTCCTACCATCTCTTATCTCAGTGCTTCCTGTTTAGAAGTTACTGGGCTCAACATTCCACACCTCATCTCAATTCATCCAGGTTACAATTCTGATATAGGAATGGTTTCCTCCATCTTACAAAGGAGGAAACTGAGACCCTAAGCAAAAGGAACTTAGGAAGGCCACAGAGCTGAAAGCAGATGGCTCCTGCTGAGCCCATGTCACAGTTCAGCTATAGCCCCAACCCTGCTTCCCCAAGCCCAGCATTCATTTGTCTAGCTCTTCCACTAGAGCAAAACCTGGTTAGAGAGGCTTGTAACTCTGCTGAAAAGAAATATGTGCTCATTGATGGAAGAGGAATGCTTTACTGGGGCTCGGCACAAAAGGGATGTGGGGTCTACCTGAGATAAAGTGAAGAGGTGTGGACTGGAATGGTTTGTGACTTAGTAGAAAGTGGCACGACACCCACTCCTACCTCCTTAAAAGCACTTCTCCTCGGGTGTGGTGGTGCACGCCTGTTGTCCTAGGAGAACCCCGGGAGGCTGAGATAGGAAGATCACCACTAGTTCGAATACAGCCTGGACTATATAGCGAGCCCCTATCCCATAAAGCAAACAAAATCACAAAAGCGCTTCCAGGTCACTACAAGAAATAGACCGCCGTCGGGGGAATGGTTCTTTAAAGCTGTTTTCTGCATTTTCAAATTGGGCAATGGCCTTGATACCAGGCAAGACTTCGAGGAAAAAATAATAGACTAAGATGCCACAAAACCTGCAAACTCTCAAGCTCGGACAAGGCTGTTAAACAACAGAAGCTGGACTGGAGAGCGTCAGCCCTGAGTTAGGACCGTTCGTTTTTATCTAGGCCGGGCAGTACCCCGGAGAGAGGACTCTGCAGACGGGACAACTCCACGAGCTGTAAGCCGCACGGACACCCCAAGCCTGAACCAGGACGGGCCTCACCGTGCCGCTGCTGAAACGCACAGACGCCCGCACGGGAAGCGACCCGCCGAGAAAATGCCGTGCCGCCAGCATCGCGCAAGCCAGGCGGGTCACCTCCCGCTGTCACCTTCACAACTTCCAGCCGCGGGACCGGCGCGACAGAAACGCACGGAGGGGGGACGCACAGGAAGCACGTCACACGACCGGCAGCCAGCTGCGCCCCCAGGCCGCCCCGCGCCTTTGCTTTCTTCCTTCAGCCCCGCCCTCTAAGGGGCACTGACACGGAGACCGGAAATGTACTCTGGTGCTCGTCCTTCTGGGAGATGTAGTCCATCCGGCTCGGCCGCTCCTTACTTGGAGACCAGGTTCCTCTTCCTAATAAACAAGACTCGTGTGTCGCCCTCTGCTGGATCCCGAGTATTTCACTTCCTACAGGCCCTACGTTTTGTGGACACCTGCTGTATGCGCGAATGGACGCTGGGGAGAGATTTAGTCAGGCTAATTCAGAATCAGATCGTCCTGATCTGGTGTAATTACGCTGACCCAGCGGAGTCCTACTGGACTAAGAGTTCCCTCTGGGCATCCGAGTGGCCCGGGAAAGTACTCATTAACTCGTGGACCTCGCTCTCCTCGCGCGCGCGCGCGCGCGCGCGCGCACACACACACACACACACACACACACACACACACACACACACACACACTCACACACTCACTCAAAAGCTGACCCGACTTCTTCTCATTGGTCTTCTCAGGGCAGTGTGTCTGCCGGCCCTTTGGAGTGATGCAGAGACCCGAGATGGTCAGTGGGTGTCACAAGCTCCAGCCCACGCTGCAAGGCTTGCTTGCCCACCCTTGGTGCTCTGGCTACACACTTCAGCCTGGCTCCTCCTGTCGTCAGAACCCAGCCCTCCCTTAGCATTTAAGGATTCCACCATCTTTTCAGCATGGCTCATGCTACCGTTGTGTCTGGACCTCGTTAGGGCGAGAGTGTTGCTATCGCTTTCCCCTTGCTTTCTCTGTTCTTTTGACTCCCAAGAACTGGGCGCTTGATCCATCAATGCTTGTCTTACTCAGCTTTTGGGACCTTGCTCTGGTATGGTTTTTAAAGGATGAAACTAAAAACGTTTTGCTGGTTTTTCTTTTAAGATAGAATCTCATTTAACCCAGGCAGGCCTGGAAAGAACTATGTGGAGTAGGCTGTATTATGCCCAGATCCCAAACACCACCAGGAGACCGACCACACATGCAAAAACAAAGAACCTTAATTTTGGGCTTAAGCTCGGACTCCCCACCGTCCAGCACAGTGGATCAGGGAGGAAGCCCTGGGTAGCTGCAAAGCTGGGTTTTTATTATGGTTTGAGCAGGGAACGGGACTTTCAGTTACATGACTGGTTCACGTTTAGCAGAAGCACGCTTGTCATAAACTGGTTGCTGCTGATCTAGGGACTGGGGAGAGGGGTTACTTCATGGAGTGTCCCAGTAACAAGGTGTACCCAGGTAAGAAAGAGTGCTAACAAAAAAAAAGTGTCCAGGTAACAATAGCATTTTGACTAGCTAAGCAAAGTTTTCTGACTAACCTTTAATTTGATGGCTCAGGTGCTTGGGGACTTTTTAAGGCAGTTACAAGATTATTGTTTCTGATTTTCAGGGAGGTTACCGAATTATTGTATTGCATTTCCATGGACCATAGTTACATGTTTTGAGGAATAGAAACATGATCTAAGCAACTGTGGGAACTTTACCAGGAACTTGGGTCTGCAGTATCTTATGAAGCCTGTCATGGCAGTACAGCTGCTTGGACCCTTCAGGCTGGTGTTGTGGAAGTCTGGGATTATGATACGTAAAGATGTTTTTGTTTTAATCCCAGACAGATTCAGATTGTCCACAGCAGAAAACTATTTGTCTCCTGTGGGCTGAGAGGGTTTCTTTGCTAGCTGCAGATAGTTTAATTTGGAGGATTCTGAGAGGGAATAAAGGCCAGAGCCCAGAGAGAAAGAAAGGGGACTCCAAGGAAGAAGAATGAATGCTGCTGGTCCTCCCACCCTGCTGCTCCTGGTTGCTGTTGATGCAGTATGAGAAGTTGGAGATATCCTGGAATGAGGATTGGACTTGCCCCAATGATCCTGATGACCCTAGGCAGCAGGAAGTAGCTAAGGAGAACTGTGCCCCTTCTCCCTGCTAACCTTCTTTAGCTCCTACCTGGTGTTGGAAGGGATTGGTGTGCAGCAGGAGGCGTAAGAAACAAAAATAGTTTTATAAAAGTACACAAAAAGGCTGGCTTTGAACTTGATGTGGTCCTCTGATTTCCTAATGCTGGTATCACAGGCAGAGTTTTCTGCCTGCCTGCCTCCCTCCCTTCCTCTCTCCCTCCTTTCCTCCCTCTCTCTTCCTTCCTTTTTTCCTTCTTTCCACTTTGACAGTCTCACTATACAATCTTAGCTGACCTGGCACTCGCTATGTAGGTTGGGCTCAACTTAAGCTTAGAGAAATCCTCTGCCTCCCATGTGCAGGGATTAGAGGTGTATGCCACCAGATCTGCTTTTCTTTTTGTCCGTTTTTTCCTAATTTAACCTTCCATTCCGGGTAGGAAGGAACTGCTGCTGTCTCTGTCATTCTGCAGTCCTTCTTTGTCTTTGGAGACGTACTTGCAAGGAGGGGGCTGGAGAGGTGGCCCAGGTAAGAGGACTTGTTGCACTTGCAGAGGATCCGGGTTTGGCTCCCAGCACCCACGTGGTGGCTCACAACCATCTGTAGCTCCAGTTCCAGGAGATTTGGTGCCATCTTCTAACCTCTAAGAGCAACAGGTATGCATGGGGTACAAATACAGACATGTGTTTACTCATACACGTAAAAAATTTTAAAACACTGATAAAAATAATTTTAAGCCACACAGTGGTGGTGGACGCCTTTAATCCCAGCATTTGGGAGGCAGAGGCAGATGGTCAGCCTGGTCAACAGAGCGAGTTCCAGGTGTGTAACGCTATGTCTGACTTAGAAATGTAGTGTGTAAGAAACCGATGCAGGCTTGTTCACTCACCCTCCCAGTGTGTGCTGGTTAGGTTTTTTTTTTTTTTTTTGTCAGCTTGACACAAATTAAGAGTCATCTGGAAAGACCCTTAACTAAGGCATTGCTTCCACTAAATTGCCTGTGAGCAAGTCTGTGGGGGCATTTTTTTGATTAATGATTGATGTGGGAAGGCCCAGCCCACTGTGGGTGAAGCCATCCCTGGACAGGTGGTCCTGTATTGCGTTAAAAAGAAAGCGGAGCACGCCAGGAAAAGCAGGCCAGTTAGCAATGTTCCCCCGCGGCCTCTGCATCGTTTCTGCCGCCAGGATCCTGCCTTGAACGCTTGCCCTAACCCCCCTTGATGAGCCGTGACACAGAAATGTAAGCCTTTCTTCCCCAAGTTGTTTTTTGCTTGTGGCATTTACCACTGAAATAGACGGCAAACTAGGACAGTAGCCCTAGCTGGTGTTCACTCCAAGGGAATGAAAATGAGCATTTCTTCCCCGACTGGTATCGTTGCACTCAAATCCATGCTTTCCTCCTCATAGTGCTGGGCACTCAGCAGAACCCACAGCACTACCGACACGCCTCCAACGGTCACTGCATGCATCAATGCTCCTAACCAAGAGCATCCACATCGTCGGCCTTCCTGCTAGGCTGGAAGGGTATCCTGCGGCTCGGAAGCCCAGGACCCACACAGCTCTGAGAGGAGGACGCCTCAGCAGCTCCAGCACTTCCAGCTCCCAGGGGAGGGTACCCTAGCCGAGCTGAGGAGCTCAGGCGCTTCAGCCTCTTTCCTTTTCTCGTCATTGCTTCTTTTCTTCTTCGCTTCTTAGATGAGAGACTTGCAACAGGCAGTAAATCCCTTAATATAAATTTACTGGAGGGACACATCCAAACACGGACCCAGAACTGGTCACCTCTGCTCCTGAGCGAAGGCAGCAGGGACCTGGGCAGACACAGCCTTTATATAAGATTTCTTAGGGGGCTAGGTCAGAGATTCCCAGAGTGAGGATTGGTGAGATTTCAAGTCCTGAGCTTAGGGAGCTCAGGGATTGGTGGTCTTTCCAGTTCAGGGATTGGTGAGTTTTTGTCCAGACTTTTCACCTTAAATTAGCATAATCTTCAATGACTGAGGTTGGAAATGCTGTTATGACAGAGAAGCCTTGGGGAGGGGCCAGGCCACTTTTCTCCCTTGAGGGTTTACAAAGTATACAAAGTTTACAAAGTTCACCGAGGGGAGTCTGGCAGCTGGTTGGGGAAGGGGGCGGGAGGGCAGGGCAGGGCAGGGACAACAGGCTTCTTGATGGCTGTGCGGCTGTGCGGGGTCTACACACACCCTCCTGACTGAAGTTTCACAGCCTGGCAGGGCAGCTCCAGCCCGCTCACACCCCTTTCCTGGGCAGAGAAGAGATGCCTGGGTAGAGCGAGGGATTACACAGCTAATCCAGGGCTCAGACTTAAATCTGTGGATCGTTTTAGGGCAGAAAGAGGGGGAGAAGGATGGAGCCAGAGTATTCCCCAGCCCCTCTCTCTCATGATGAGTACTCATGCCAAACAGAGAAGTAGCAGGGGTGCCAGGGACAAGGTGCTGGTGGTGGAAGTGGTGGAAATGTGGAAGGACAGCACCCACCTTCATTAGCGTCGGGCTCAGCACCAACTGCTTACCATCTGTTATCCCCTTAATCCTCCCTCCTATGGAGCATAGGAGTAATGAACCCCTTTTGCAGAAGCAGACGCTGTAGCTCTGATGCCAAGGGGGCCCATCCAGCATGGTATGGCTGCCAGTTCACTTGCTTACCAGGCTCCTCAAGTAAAGGAGGGCTAAGGATTGCTACATATTCAAGACCATCCTTGTGTACTAGTGAATCCTAGGCCATCCAGGGATACACCCTGAGACCCTTTCTCAAAAAAGATTTTTTTTTTTTTTAAAGGAGGCAGCTGGAGACTTCGCTACCATGCTTAAGGCCCCACCTTTGACCCCAGTAAAGAGGTGTGTGTGCCACAGAGAGAGGCAGAGCGAGAACAAGGAGACACAGAGGTCTGAGCTGGTTGTGCAGGCTCACACCTATAATTCCAACATTTGGCAGACGAAGGCAGGAGGATTGCCATGAGTCTGAGGTCAAATTAGGCGAGGGGGAAAAAAAGGCTTTTTGAAGGTCCACTCTGGTGTCATTTCCTAAGCAGTTTCCTCTGGAGTATCCAAGGACTGGTGCTCACTTCTTCCTCAACCTCTTTCTCCC